AATCTTTCTTTAGTTTTGGTTTCAACACGGCTTCTTTTAGTTTTCCAGGCATACAACCTGACTGAAGTGACTCATTACTGATCTTAGTAATTATAGGTAAGAGAGTCTTCTAACAACTTTGAAAGATTTTTGCGGGAACTGGATCAAGTTCACAAGATTTTTTTCCAACTATATCAATAATATTTTTAATTTCATGTTCCGTGACTTCTTGAAAGTTAATTAATTTAGCGCATTGTACATATTGCTCCTCTTGATTTAGCTGATTACAGTGGGAAGAATCAATGACTAGTTCTTGCCGTATAGTAGTAATCTTATTACTGAAGAAATCTGCAAATTTATTCACGAGTTCTGTGGTTGATGACGCAGTTGGATAGCGCTTTTCTGACTTTCGATGGAGTAATTTATCAACCGTACTAAATAACACTTTCTGATTATGTGCATTGCTAGAAATAACGAATGAATAGTATGTTATCTTAACATTCTTTATCATGGCATTCACTGTCTCACATTGTTTAACATATAACTGTCTGTCAATACATAATCCAGATGCGCGCCAGCGGCGCTCTAATTTCCTGCGATTTCTTTTTTCTTGACCAATCTCTTCATTGTACCATGGTGATAGAGGACGGAGAGTTATAATTCGTCGTTTTTGTGGGGCATGTTGCTGTAATGTTTCTTTCAGCGTATTTTCATATTTATCAATGAGGACTGGGAGATCATAATCATAATCAACATCTAAATCTAGCACTTTTAGATCGTCATTGAAACTATTCATGTTTACATTGTTAAATTTTCGATAGTAAATTTCAGCTTGCTCCAATGGTGGTTTCTCTAATTTTAATGTACAATGTATGGCAAGATGATCCGATATTACTGGATCATGTTTTCTGATACCAGTCACTAATTTATCTTCATTCCTTGTTATAATCAAATCTAAAGTGTGGCCTTTCGTGTGGGTTGGCCCATTGACGTGCTGTTGTAAATTAAACGATTCCAGTATCCTGTTGAGTTTAGTAGTATCTGGATCTGTAATGTTATCTACATGGAAATTAAAGTCTCCTGCTATTAATATATTGCCAGGTAATATGATCAACTGTTCTACAAGTATGCAGACTTCTTCAAAAAATACTGAACTGCTTAGTTTGTTAGTCTTCGATGGCGGTGGTCTATAAATGACAATCGTTCTGGTGCAAGTGTTACGGTAGTTCAGGGTGACATCAACATATTCAAAAGAAGAGAATTTTCTCTGGGATTGTTTTTTGGCTTTAATATATTTCTTCAGTAAGAGACCAACTCCTCCACCTCGTGCATTTTTCCTTGTAACGTGGTAAAAGTGATACCCTGTTGGGCAGATTTCAGCAATAGAAAATTCGTTATCATCCTCACGTAACCATGTCTCAGTCATTGCCAGAATATCAATATCGTTCTCAGAGACATAGTCATTAATAAAAAGTTCTTTCCTATTTATTAATCTGGTGTTCAACAGACAAAAGTTGATAGGCATAAAATAAGTCTTTGGTTCCTTTGTACAATTGACATAAATTAAATTATTAAAATTTACATATCGAGATTGTTTCGTATTCTTAGTATCTCGCTTGTTAACATCAACATTACGATAGGGCTTCAAGTTTAATTTACATGCCGTAGTTCTGACAGGTATCTGTTTTGCTACCTCTGCATCCAAATTCTGGATTCTGGTTTCTGGATATGGGATTGGGGGTCTGGATATGGGTTTGGGGCTCTTGGTGGGTACGGGTGCTGAGACATCGGGAACAAGGGATGAAGCATTGGATGACGGAAGGGGGGGAAATAATAATTCGAAAGGGGGAAAAAAGGAAAATGGTTGAATGGAATTGGTGCAGGCATATTATCAGGACCCGGATAATGGGAAAAATCGCATTTATCATCCTTTAGACAGAATCCATTCTTCCGTAAAAAGGGACGGGTATTCGGGACTTATCATGATGTTGTGGTTTAGGGTGGTTTCCTTGTTGGATTTTCGGTCCACATACTGCAGGTAAAACATTTTTATGCAAAAAGTCACATCTGGGTCCTTTCAAACAGTGGCCTTTCCTTTTTAGGAAAGGGCACGGCACTAATGCTTTTTCCTTTTTACTTGTTTTAATACGATAGCCTCGGGGGGTTTGTTTGAAAGATGGAATTACACTGGTTCTTGAACTTGTATTGTTTTCGTTCATCCAAGCTGGTGTTTTAACTACAGATGAGATTTCAATGTTAATTGGACTTTCATTGTTTATGTTCAAGTTCTCCAATTGTGCACCATTGCAAGGTGTTATTTCGGCTAGAATATTAATTACATTATTAGCTGACCCCCGATCATTGTTCTCCGTTAGGTTTTATTATTACTATTCAAATGAGCTGTTGTTTTATCTGCAGATGGAGTTTCCATGTTAATTGGGCTTGTATCATTAGCATTGTTTTCTTCATTTACATTATGAATTACTTCAAGCATGAAGTTTTCTATTGATGATAATTTAGACTTAAAGAATGAATTGTCTTCGTTAAGTACCTGAATTAATTCATCCTGATGTAGAATTACGGCTTCCAAATCTTTTAATTTTACTCGGAGCGATTTTATCTCAGACTCATTATCGCTTTTAGAGGTTACGCTGAGCAACCGGGATTCGAGGATTGTCATTTCCAACTTCAAACCCTCTAATTCCGCGCTTACAACCGCGTTAACACAGCTACAAGTGCATGTACAAACATGGCCACATACCTCAGGTTCATCGATGCATTTCACATTCCTGTCAACAACACAGCTCACAGTTTCATGATTCCGTTTATTCACGTCGGTAACTTCAACTTCCATTAACCTCTACAGCGATATAACTTGGCCTTCCTCATCGGCTGTATATACATCTTTCTTAGCGGATATGTCCGTTATTAGGTTAACAAAATTTTCATCAGCGTCTGGGTTGTTATCCTCGCATGTACCGGCTAATTTTTGAAATTCCAACTTTAAATAATGTTCATCACTATCTGTTTGAATGATAAGTTTTAGAGATCGTTGACCATACCATTTGATACTGAATTTATTCGTTGTCACAGAAGAGCTTCACATCCCCGCCAGGCGAACTCCATTTCCCCTGAAGCTTTAACATTTGTTCAACAAAACACTTTAACTCGGTCAACGGGCCATTCCAAAGATAGATATCGCTGTCACATGTTAACTTATTTGTAGCCATAATGATAAGTTTCGGTTTAGTCTTATCCTTAGTGTTAAAAGTTGTACACTTTCAACAGTATACACATATTTTTCGCAAAAATGAAAACATATAATTCACTCCATCGAAGGCGGCCATTTTAAATTTATTGAATATAATCAATATATCCATCCAGTTACTGCATTTCTGGTTGTGCAAAATATAGATCAAAATAGCACATGTGATGCTGATCGCTCTCATACGGTCATGATGGCATTAAGGCGGATTTCCAGTCCTCGCACGAAGCTCCTCGCAGCTCGCTGCGAGTGCATGCATGAGCACTTTCATCCAGTCGCAATGCTAAACAGTTAATTTTAATTAGATGCAAGCACTCGCGGCGAGTTGCGAGGCAGACTAGTCCCAAGTCCTCTGTGCCCGCTTTTAATTTCCGTGACGTCACCGAGCGAAACGCGCGCAAGAGGACTAGCACAAAGCGTTTTCTAGCCTGCAAAGCAGGTGCTCGGGGGCTTGGTAAATCCCGTAAATGTTTTCCAATATGGCGGAATTCCAGAATTTATAAAATTGTATAAACATGGAAGAATATGCAGAATATTTACAGGTAAACGCGAGTATTAAAGATATTATGGTTGTACCATGTAAATAATAAGGTATTATAATAACTTCTTTCAGGAATGACGTAAATTTAAAGCAAGTTGTAACATTTTTTGACTATTAGTAGCACCCTGATCATCATCTGTTGACTGAGGTGACTAAGTGCATCTCACTTGATAGAACTAACTGTTGAAAGGTTTTGTCCCCGAGCCGGCGGCGCGAAGCGCCGTGCGAGGGTACTAATTCCCCCCGGCTATTTACACCCGGGGAAACGAAAGCATTAGGGAAGTCTGAAGTTCATCAAATATCGCGGGCGTGGGTCACTGTGCGTGTTTCGGTGGGTGGTCATCCTCACTGATCTCAAAAATATGGCGGACTGTCATGAATAGCGAACACTGATTGGTCAAATTTAAAATTTGTTGTTGTACGACGAATGACGACTTCAACTGACAGATACTTCATGAAAATATTTTGCTTTTTGCACTGCAATATTTTGTACGTTAACGTTTGCAAAAAACTTTGACAGCTTTCAAAGCAATTTGTTCTATAAAAAGTTTAATAAAACAATTACGGTATCAAATACCAATTGAAAAGATATCGACTACTGTATGGAGCCAAATGAAGAGCGGCAAGGAAACGACAAGAAAGCCGAACGTCTAGCGAAAAGGAGGGAGCTAGCGAAGACGACAACGTTTGCTCGAGGAGACTGCTGAGGAAAGAGAAGCTCGCCTGGGAAAGCGTAGAGAAGCATGGAAAAAAGACTGCTGAAGCGAAAGGTAAGCAAAGGCTTGTCTTCACAACGCTATGTACCAATGATACTGTAGCTATATATACAAGTTGAAGTATGATATTCGACCCTCTATATTCGACTATTTCTTCACAATTTTCCAATAAAGAGTTTGTCATGACACGCTCAAGTCAGTATAACCAGACTGTATTTTATTTATATCAGTTATCACAGCCACAGGCAATTTTATGCTGTCAAATACCGGCGGTTGCAACTAAGGGTGAACAGTTGCAGATAAAACATTCTCTATTCTCATTAAAAGGCCTGTAAAAGTTTCCAGTAAGTCTCTAGCCCAACACGTTCAGACCACACAAAGTATTATTATTGTCCACTGTACACATGGGAAACAACAATTAAGTGTTGTTGTTCTTGACAAACATTGAAGATTCTAATCACGCGAATGTTTTTATGAGCAACTGTTCATCGTTAGTTGCAAGCGACGGTACAAACATTTTTCCGACTGTGACCGAATGTGCAACGATATATTTTTCAAAGTTGTTGTCAATTCCTAAAATTTGTTTATAGTAAAACGGCCTGCCCAGCACTCACTACTCACGATGATTTCATTTAGAAATGCAGTTACCAGGAAAGGAACTGATTCTAAAATATGTAAATTTAAAAGCATTGGCTAACAGAATAAAGCGATGTGAAGACAAGGTACAAACTTTTATAGTTGCTATTTGTTATAAAATCCTATAAATAAACCGATTCAACAATAATATTGCCTCGAATTTGCATATTCTATGCCGCATGTTTATATTTTATTTTTATAGTATAAAAATTTTTATAGTATAAAAATAAAATTGTAATACTATGAAATAAAATACATTTCTATTTATTGACCAGTACTTATTTAATGTCTTCTTCATCCAGTGGTCAGAGTAAATTTCTACTTCTAGCAAGTAAATATTTGACAAGCAGTTTGGAATAAGCACAGGAATAAGCACAATGAGCCATTTTATAGTAGCAATATGAAAAGTTTTTTTCTTTTTCCATGACTTTTAATGCATTGATGTCAGCCAAATCCAAGTGTGCCCATCCCCCTCGCCCAGCCATTTTCCTGTAAAGCACATCCCGGGGGTTGGGTATTTCCACTCGAACCTTAGCCCCGGCGGGGCATTTGAAATTAATAATTTCGATTCTTGCACTTCACTTGGTGGAATTAATATTAGAATGTAAGGGTTTGTAATCCAAGTGAGAATATATACATGTATATATTTTGTAATCCAAATGAGAATAGTTTGTAATCCAAGTGAGAATATACAAATGTATATATTCTCACTTGGATTACAAACCCTAACATTCTAATATTAATTCCACCAAGTGAAGTGCAAGAATCCAAATTATTGAAGTCCACCTTATCACAACCCGCACACCCGATAACCTAAATATACATGAACTTACGGTTCAAGCTCAACAGCTGGCCTCGGTAGCTCAGTTGGTTAGAGTGCTGCACCGGAATCGCAGGGCCATAGGTTCAATTCCTACCAGAGGACCTTGTGCTGCATTTTTCGCAGTCGTTCCTTGTTAGGTCTTAAAATGTATATATATTCTCATTTGGATTACAAACCCTAACATTCTAATATTAATTCCACCAAGTGAAGTGCAAGAATCCAAATTATTGAAGTCCACCTTATCACAACCCGCACACCCGATTACCTAAATATACATGAACTTACGGTTAAAGCTCAACAGCTGGCCTCTGTAGCTCAGTTGGTTAGAGCGCTGCACCGGAATCGCAGGGCCGTAGGTTCAATTCCTACCAGAGGACCTTGTGCTGCATTTTTCGCAGTCGTTCCTGGTTAGGTCTTAAAATGTATATATTCTCACTTGGATTACAAACCCTAACATTCTAATATTAATTCCACCAAGTGAAGTGCAAGAATCCAAATTATTGAAGTCCACCTTATCACAACCCGCACACCCGATTACCTAAATATACATGAACTTACCGTTAAAGCTCAACAGCTGGCCTCTGTAGCTCAGTTGGTTAGAGCGCTGCACCGGAATCGCAGGGCCGTAGGTTCAATTCCTACCAGAGGACCTTGTGCTGCATTTTCGCAGTCGTTCCTGGTTAGGTCTTAAAATGTATATATTCTCACTTGGATTACAAACCCTAACATTCTAATATTAATTCCACCAAGTGAAGTGCAAGAATCCAAATTATTGAAGTCCACCTTATCACAACCCGCACACCCGATTACCTAAATATACATGAACTTACGGTTAAAGCTCAACAGCTGGCCTCTGTAGCTCAGTTGGTTAGAGCGCTGCACCGGAATCGCAGGGCCGTAGGTTCAATTCCTACCAGAGGACCTTGTGCTGCATTTTTCGCAGTCGTTCCTGGTTAGGTCTTAAAATGTATATATTCTCACTTGGATTACAAACCCTAACATTCTAACATTTGAAATTAAGGATTTGGAGGTTTTGCGATCACTGATAACTTGATAATAATATAAAACAAAACACTTCTATCTGCAACTTTTACAATCACTGATAACTTGATAATAATTTAAACCAGTCAAGTTGTAGTTTAAATAGAGAATAATGCATGGGTGCACGAAATACCAGATTTATTTTGAGTGTTGAACATGAGTGTGCAGCGAACAAGTGAGCGCAGCGAACGAGTGAGATGTCATGTTCAACACAAAAAATAAATCTGGTATTTCCAACCACCCATGTATTTTTCTGTTTATTATATAAAGGACAGTCTTAAATGAAAAGCGATAATTTTTACAGAAAAGCGATAATTGAAAAGGCGATAATTGAAAAGGCGATAATTTTCACATGTGAGATTATCATGAATAATTTCACATGTGAGATTATCATTTTTATCAGGGCTCGAAATCTCTGTAAAACACTATACTTTATATAATAAAAATTCATAAATTTGAACCATGCTAGAGCATGACAACAGCAAAATGCTCTATAGTATGATGCACAATATTTTGGGAGGTGAAATACACGAACAATAAATCAGAGAGTGTTTGCTTGGAACTCACTGGGGTGGGGCAACACCCCTGATAATTGCTCATGAGGAATTTCAGGTAGATTTCCAGTGCACTTTTAGGTAAATTTAAGTAGATTTGCAGAAGATTTTCAGGGGAATTCAGGTAATTCTCAGGACATGAGAAAGTGAATTTGGAAAACAACTGTATTTTCGGAAAAATTATTATATGTCCTGAAAATTTTTTGTACATCTGGAAACATTTTGGTAACCCCCCCCCCCTCTATTTAACCTCACACACACCCTCAGACGAAGTGGTCGCAACGGCACTGAGTATACATCTTTTGAAAACAGGCGAGGGGTTATTGCATGCATGTATTTCTAGTTTTATTGTCCATGGTTTTGGTTATACAACATTTCGGGCGATATTTTCCCATCTTTCTTGCATTATAAACTAGTGATATTTTTCCATCTTTCATGCATTATAAAATTGACAAAATTGCAAATCCGTACGCACTCCTCGAGTGCCTATTTTTAAAATATCCTCATTTCTTTTCCGGTCATACACCAACTTATGAAACTCATATACAACAACTTATGAAACTCATCAAGTACAAAAATATTTAACGTGTAACCAAGATATGCTCATGAAATGGAAATTAAGAAGTAAATTTTCAAACTAGACTCTGCTCGAGGCGGTTTTCATGGAAGACGTACACCTTTTGGCCCTTGATTCTTGCCAAAAATTTGACCACAACACGTGCGAAGCAACTGGGTCTCAAAGACTTAGCTAAAACATTGTGAGGCCCTATTTTCCTGACAATATCTTTGATACCTATAAACGCCGAAAAGAATTTTCTTTTCATTTAGCTATATTTGAAATTGAGACCACGGGCTATTTTTCAGAAAATACAGTTCAAAGTCAAGCTATTTTTTCAAAATTTGTCAAATTTCGCGAGTTACATTAAAAGAAATATAGGATGGAATATTTGAGGCATATAATATAAATTTCAACTTACATTTCATTCTCATATCACGTTTTTCTTCGTTTATTATTAGCATGACAAAATTACTGGATGCTGATTGGTTGAGAGGAGTACAATTATTTCATTAATTGTACTGCAGTACAATTAACGATTTTGGCAAAACAAACAAAATTAAATTTGTAAATCGTTGATTGGAAAGCAAAAAATCGTCAGCTAAAACAGCTTCTTGCTAACTTTCTGCTTTGTTCTGAATGTAAATGCAATGGAGCTTTGTTTCTGCCCGCGATCTTTGGGTCAGCGACGACAAATTTCCCACTTGTTGGGCAAGTCCGGAACATTCCTAATTGATGTTATTCTAAACATGTTTAATTTGATATTATTGAAGTCACACAGATCGACAGATTAGGAAAAAGTGTAGAATTCTTGACTTGCAATGATGTGAGCGACGGTCATGTTTATATAGTCCCTTTCCAACAAAGGAATCTCATTAACTTCTTTTGAATTTAGCACCAAAATGGCTGCCGTGCCATTGTCTTTCAACTCTCAAGGGAATGATTCCAAGTCAAAAATTACGCTTGGGACTTAGTATTATTTTGGCAAATTCCCCTAATTTCACTATCAATTAATTATCAGATCACATGCGAAAAAGCCAATGAAAGTAACGCAAATTATAAATTTAGTTTCAGTCTATACGATAACCTTGTGCTTGCAAAAGTATAAGATATAAAAAAATGACGAAAACGTAGAGCAAACATGACATTCTTTGCATTTGTTTTGAATAGAAATTTGGAAATATCTTTTACGTTTAATTGAAGAAATGTTTCGTGCGAATCAAAACGAAGAAATATAATTAATAATGTATTCGTTCGATCGTGTGTATCAATTACGCACGTTTTATATTTAATATTTAATCTTACCACCAGAATGTGTTGCCCTTCGTTCGTGCGCGACTTACAAGGTCGTTATTTACAAGGTCTGGCTGGCGTTTTCTCCCTTCACCTCAACGCCTGTTCGCTGGTTACTTGGGACTAAGTAACCACGACTTGATCTACAGTGTTAGGAAACGTAAACTCCCAAGATCTAAAGCACGAGTTGTTGAGTAAAGGAGCCGGTTAACTCTTAATTAACTACATTATTGGCGGTTAGATCGTAGTTAACTGTAAAATAAATTTCTGATTGGCCAACAGTTTTACTAACTATAGTTAAATAATCGTTAACTACAGCTTTTGTGTGAATGGATAAACTATTTCAGGTAGTTTATCGGCATTCACACAGAAGTTTTATTGAAGAATAGCACCTACACTGGCAACGCAACGTTAGATATATTAATCGCTTACTACATTTTTATACTATTTTTATACCTTTTTATTAATCGCTTACTACCTTTTTATACCCTGAAGTTTAAAAAAGATTTTTTTTATATATATATATATATATATATATATATATATATATATATATATATATATATATATATATATATATATATATATATATATATAAATATATATACATATATATATATATATACAGACGTTTAATCGTTATCAAAAATTTCAAAAAAGTTATTAGCGCCTGACTTTAGCCGGTAAGAAATATTCGTGAGTATTGTTTATATAAGACCAAAATTCGCTGAAAATAATACAATATTGCAGGTATTAAAATATATCGGACATACCCGGCCCTTATCAGCTTTATGTAATCGCATGACTGACTGACTGTATATTGATCGTTCTTAAAGGTTCTTTCTTATTGATATCTGTTCATCTTACATAACTGCAATGTTTCTTGGGGAAACTTTGCATGAAAAACGAAAAACAAACCCAATTAAATTGAAGCAGATTTTGTAATTTGAACGTTTAATTAAAATTATGAGGAGAAAACCTAAACAACCGATCTACATTTTATTTACTATTTAAAGAAGTCATTTTTTAAAAAAAAGAAAATACAGTAAAATGACAAGAAAGTTCAGTTTGTTGCAAATATGCTTACAACAGAAACGTGTCGCCTGAAGATCCTAATAACCACCAAGTGATTTGACAGATTGCGCCAAACTCACTCCTTTCTGTGCGGTGTCCAATGCCCGTTCCCACCTATTCCAGTCGGTGCATTTAGAGGAAATGTCATTATCTTCGTAGAAAGTGAACTTGCCCCATACATGTTCACCACCCCAGAACTGAGGGCCAGATTTTTGGTAGAGAAACGTAGCTTCACACCACCTGCAAGGAGAACCATTCTAAGTTATTATTTCCGCGCTTTAGAATATCCTACGATACATTAAGCCATACACGAAACTGACTGTTGCCTTTTTTATTTAGTTAACTTATTTCAATACCGCAGAAAAACGTCTGCGCATGCGCGAGCACTAAAATTAATGTTTTAAAATTTTATCATCGCAACAAAAACATGACCAATTGGTAATTTCTTCTTTGAAACAAATGAAATAAACCGAAAATTACTGAAAAAGGATGGCACAGATCCTAATTTGTAACTTCACAACATTTTTAGTATACAAGGAAATCAAATGAATGAAAAACCTTTTGTTTCAACAAGGGATATATCGCATCCTTCGTGAAAATTATGAAACATCGATGTTCAATTCAAACAGAAATGTAGACTTAAGAAATCTAGCGAACACTTAATGGTCTTAGTATGATTAATCTTTCGAGTTAATCATAAGATTTATATAATGTTTATACAGAAAAAGTTCAGGGGAAAAATATGACATTTACACAATAAATTTATCAAACAGGTCTCGCTTACTTTTCGTCTATTTTCACTATAATATTCGTTGATTTCTATACTATAATTTTGTTCATCTTTTTGGTTGACCTCATTTAAGATTTTGGTCGTAATTTTACAGCAAAACACACATGAAAGTCATTCCGTTTCGCGACCATTTTGAGTCTTTGACAACATTGCGAACAGTTTGACCTGGCGTTCGGAAGGCAAATTTCTAAGTTTTTAGTTGTGGTTAGCCCTTTATTTAAAATCATTTAAGCTAGAGCTTCGTCAATCTTGCAGAGTATGATTTTCACTTTACTGTGGCACTTTTGTGAGAGCATTTAATGATTAACTAGGGCGTCACTAAATTTCCTGCTCTCCAGCTGTATGCATTCCAGTTCACTATTGAAATATTGTAACACATGCTTAATTTACCAGTAAACATGCAATGTGGGAAACATTTTTATTATATACCTGTGCTCAGCTCCGCAGCCAGTTCGGAGTTCATCTCCGGGGTTGTCTATGCCTGATGCCCTAAACCGAACTTCACGATTGCTGACTGGGAACATTATCGTGACTTGTGGGTTACTGGAACTCACTTTGACAAAATGATGCTGGTTAAATCGATCAATCCTTTTGAACCCATTGGTTGGTGCTACACCGCGAAGACGATCTTCGGTGTAAGAGCTTGAGTCAGCAGTAATGCCAGTCTCCTTGATTCTAAGATAGTTTGGGCCTTCATGAGTCATGTTGAAAGAAATGGACTATCTCCCGCAAATATATACGATAAAAACTATCAATGAATCTGATCTTTCAAAATTAAATAAAAAGTGTAAACTATCCGAGATGTTATTTCATCTACTGTTTATATGTTGAGAGTCATTATTAACTCAATGCCGTCCGGCCTTGAGATTTCCGACGTGAACGTCGGAAAGATTAAATATTAAAAACTCCACGAGTATTTGCGGTAGAAATACGAATTAACCACCAAAAAATTCGAACAATGTAAAATAGCCATAAAATTTAAACTAGCCATACTCGAACAATGTAAACTAGCCATACCATACTTATATACAATATACTCGTATATTGTATATAAAGTATATTACAATATACTCGAACAATGTAAACAATGTATCACTAAGCCATACCTTTCGCTGAATATAACTTCGGTCCTATCTATTTCGTAATAATCTTGTTCGAATCACAATCCAAGACACTATTTACTTTTAGAGTGTTATTTTCAAGCTTTTATCTACAGATTTGCATCTCTTACTTTGGTATTTCATATGCGTGAGCTCCAACCGGAAATACAAATTGAAATGTCGAAACAATGCGATGTTTACATCCTAGCACTTGGAAAACGTCGGAAATCGACTCTAAAGGTCAAATTACCCCTGTAGTCGAAATGACCAATTTTAGCGTGTGGCACGCGCGTGCGAGCAAAAACCCGATATTTCGGAAAATTCAAAATAAATCATGATTTAGAAGATATTCAACATTTCCTCGATATGAAATACAGAATGTTTGGCCAAGTGATGAGTAAATATACGATTGTTTGGTTTGTGTGATGTTATGACGGCATTTGACAACACGTTGGAAAGGTTTCAACGGTGGTTTTCGTTTTAAAGGGGTAAATACTTGCCGAGATATTTTAATCTTCCCTATCCTAAAGTCGGAAATAATGTAATATAAACCGTAAGGCATTGATTAACGACGTTTTCAATTTTATTTTCAGTTTTTGCTATCTAGTTTTATTTTCAAAACGAAAGAATTCTTTGTTATATTAAAGATGATCGGTCTAGATTAGCTTACGCTGGAATTTCATAATTATTTTACATACACGCAAATATAGATAAATTTTGTCATTATCAGTTCGATACTGCGGTTTTCAAACCATAATGATTTATATAATGACAATATATTCACAATACTGATTATAACGTGTAAGCAGAGACGTATCAACCGCTGCGTTTACGTTGGGTATAAACCACACCCAACTGTGAAACTCTGGTAAAAATCAGGTAAAATTCATTTTTAAATTTTGACATTTTCAGGTAAACTTTGCATATTAAAGTCGTTATTTTTGTGAAATGATAACCATTTTGTAAAATACAGTAAATGTCGATCCAATTCGTTTGCGAATTTGCTTTAGAAAACGCCAGTAATGCAGTGCTGGAGCTTCAAAAATGTTTCTGGGGGAGAACTCCCCCCCCCCCTCCCTCCTTCTTCACCAACTTAATATGACAGTGGAAGTCAATCAGAAAAAGCTCTATTATAATTATTACATTTCAGCTAAATTTTGAACATTTTAGTTCAAATTTCGGGTAAAATCCTCCAACACCCCTCCCAACTTCAGATGCTTTGCTACGGTCTGCGTGTAAAACAGCAGTTCAGCTATATTTCGCTTTAATACAGCCTCATTTTGATCACTGCTGCTTGGTTTGGGATGAGTTAGGAGCACACTTGTAACAAAACTAGAAAATATGTACGCACTGCGTACATGTGCCTAACCTATTCATTCTGTTCAATTATACAGCTGGAGTTCACATTGTCATAAACGTTAATCACAAACATCTATTGTGATACAATTAATCATTGCTAACTTCTTATTAACCGAGCGTGAGGTCTTTACATAGAAATATCAGACCGAGGTCTTTTTTGTACAGACCGAGCCCGTAGGGCAATGTTTGTACCTGAAAAGACCGGGGTCCGATATTTCTCTGTACATACCGTCAGTCAAATCTTTATTTAAGCACGGTAGCTTCATCAGGTTTACCGAAAATAGTTATCTACATTAATCAACCTCGTTCCCAGGGCTTTTCCCTTTTTGTCATTGGGAAGGCGGGAAAAGGCCCTGGCACCGGCCGGTCACATGACTTTCAACACCCAGATATAGTGGGTGTAATAAATTATAATAATAATGAATTAGAAAATCCAAGATGGCCGCCAACCTAAGAGTGTCCACAAATTTAAGTGCTTAGAGCGGCTTAAAAATGAGTTTAGTCTTTGAAATTTTTCCTTCTTTTTGCTACCGACGTACTCGAAATCAGATTTTTCAGCTTTTATTACATGGGAACTATGTAGTTGCTGTTCTTGCAACTGGGTTTGGTAAATATCGTTCGTTCGCTAAACAAAATTAACAGATGTTCTCCAGCTGGACAGGCTTGCCTCTAAGAGGACACGGAAAGTGTTTTGAACTGGGGATGTTAAAGTTGGTTTTACCCTTTGAAAGACTCTGCTGTGCGACGATTGGAGCAAGTTTATGAGGAATATTTTATACAGTGATTCAAAGAAATGTTTTTGCATATACTGTACATGTTATTGATCTATATTGTTGAATGTCACTTATATTATAAAGTGCCAATGGTTGGAATATTTATTCATTGATATTTTAAACACAGATGAAGTGTTATATATGCTCTTTCCTTGTTTACGTTTTCCTTGCAGCCAAATGTTGTTGAAGCTGGCAAGCTGCAAAACTGACATATGAGTGATATGACCCAAATATTGGATATGCATCTTAGTTTGCTTCCAGTAAAATGTAAACAAGACGTTAAGAATTCTATACGAGATAAGAAATATTCCGTTTAAAATCATGACTGGCAAATTAGCATGTGCGAATTGATGCTTCCTAATAATAGTATGTATTCCAGTAAAGCTTGCTTGCTTCAATTCTTGCTGTTACCATTTGCACATTATCAGGGTGGAGAGTTGATTTGAATTTTTTGTCCCAGGGGATAAAGGTAGGGAATAGATTTTCCATCACAAAAGGGGCAAGGTGCCCAACCAGTTAGACATGTACTTTAAGTGACCATTCATTATACCCTAGGGTGGGGTGGGAGATTCTTTTGTCAAAGTGTCATGGGACCCCTTTTTAATCTCTTAATTTAATATTGGAGACCCCTCCTAAATATTTAAGACTATATAACATGATGAAATTCTAATCTTCATTCATGTGAATGCCTGACTATGAAGAAAATACATTTTGCAACACAGGGATGGATCCAGCATGATCTGGTAGGGGTGGGGTGGGGTGGGGCGTGCTCTGCCAGCTCTGGTGCCGAGTTGTGTTGGTCATGTGTGCCGCCCGCCCATCAACTTGCTTCACTACTGCAAAGTCTTGCTTTACTACTGTATTTGAATTGCAATTGTTGTTCACAGCTCCCTTATCATCATGTTATTACTCAAATTACTGTATC